AGTCTACGTCATAACCATAGGAAGAATTCCACAACGTCATGAACAGAGACTCTCTAGAGTGGTCCAAATGAAGTGATGAGTCAGTGAAGTCAAAGAGATGCTTGAATTTGCTGCACATTTCTCAGCTGATCTTGGACAACACTGCTGTCACCACCACAATCAGGATCGCCCCAGGCCACGACAGACCCACCAACCAGAATGGCAGCGAAGGCACCAGCGAATGCAGATGCCTGAACTTGCTGCACATTCCTCAGTTGATCTTGCACAGCGCTGCTGTCACCACCCTCTTCTGGATGGCCCCAAGTCACCACAGACCCATCTGCTAAAATCGCAGCGAAGGCACGGGAAGAAGCTTGAACACGTTGCACATCTTTCAGCTGCTCTTGGACAGCACTGCTGTCACCACCCTCTCCTGGATGGCCCCAAGTCACCACGGACCCGTCTGCCAAAAGCGCAGTGAAGGCACGCGCAGAAGCTTGAATCTGCTGCACGTTTCTCAGTTGATCTTGGACAGCGCTGCTGTCAGCACCATATTTGGGCTCACCCCAAGCAACCACGCTGCCACAGCAGCACAATGCAAACGCTGCATTTGATGCTGCTATTTGTGGCATTTGAACTATGGCCGTCAATGTGTCCCCATCAACAAGCCCAGCATCCTGCAAGGATCCTGCTGTACTGAGCTTGCTTCCATCTGTGTGGGTCAGCTCCAAGAACTGCAGTTTCAAGGACTGCTTCGTAGCAGTCTCGAACTCAAGGACACTGGAGCTGGCTGGTGCTGACAAAGCAACGGAGCGACCACTGGGTAGAGACACATGAATGATGAGCTTCTCAGCATCAGATCCCATGGCACTGGCACAGCTGACTGCGGCCAAGTGGAGTGAGGGACTTTAACCGCAAAAGTAGGATGGAAATGCCCCGGTGCTTTGGGAAGATGCCAGCAACGAGAAAAATTGGGCTAGGTCTGCTAGATGCGGGGTGTCAAAGACCCTGATCTGAAGAAAGAAATATACAGCATATAGTTGTATAATGGCTCAGGAATCATTGGCCAAAAGCTCTATATGTGTCAAAAGGCCACATGAAGTCTACTTGACCTCCTGTTTCAGAGTAAAGCTCCTCGTTGATCAGGAGACTTTAATGGTCGCATCTGGGATCGGCACTCATCACCCGTCGAACCCACGCGATGGAGAAGCCTTCATGGGCCGGACCACTGCACCTTCCTTCCTTCATTTTCCTTCATTTTCCTTCCTTTTCCTTCCTTTTCCTTCCTTTTCCTTCCTTTTCCT